CCCCTGGACCCACCCACAAATTGTGCCCCCCCCCCGCAACTCAGGAGGCACCAGTCACCCCTGATGGGTGCTAAATACTAAACAAGTATAGTAAGAAACTGACAACTGTAAACAGAAGAGACAGATTAAAGCAGGAAAAATACAGATGCAGGAAAATGAGATGCTTTTGTTAGGATTCAGAAACTAAGTCTTCTAAATAGTGCATTTCTGTTTTATAAGGAACAGGAATTTCCGCGTTAATTTAGAGACCAAACATCCAGTTCTTGGATGAGACCAGTTATAACAGGTCAGAACACAAGACAAACAGACGAACCCATCAAAAACAGTAACAAACAACTAAAAACAGTTTTTTGCTTACATAGTATAACACAACTGTGCCTTCTAAATAACACAACACAAACAGGCCTGCCAAGGACAAATCTTTTCACAGGCCTCAACCTGTGATCCAACACACGCAAACATCAGGTAAAAAAAAAAAAAAATACCAGCCCTGGAGACTGAAAGGATGTTGTTGATTACAACGTGCTCAAACCCAGGTTCCCATTCCACACCCGACAAGATCTGCCTGCCCATATTTGCCTACAGTCAACTGAGCTTTAGGGTGAGGTTACATACGATGCTTAGACTGTGCAGAATCAGCAGTGTTACAGTGTGCTGAGGCCTAATGCTGCCTTCAGGCCTGCACAGCTCTGACTTGCAGCTAGAGGGTCTGTGGCCAGCAGCAAGGACATTTGGGCTCTATCCCCACACTGGGGCACAAGGTGGTTTGGAAGTGGTGCATCCTGGGATGCTGGAGGTCTGCAAATGGCTGGCTTTATCTCCACAGAGCACACTGGGTACATCCATACATTCATCAATGTGCCTTAGGTAGCGCTCATTAAATCCAGTCCCTCCACCGTGAGATACTAGAAAAATGTGCATTAGCCTGTTTTAATGGACATTAGCTAAAAAGCATGGGGTTTTTTGTGACATTTTAATGCACATTAAAATAAGCTAATGCACATTAAAGCTCATGTGTAGATGCACCCAGAGCTGACCCAGACAGGAGCTGGGTAACCGCCCAGATCGACCCCTGCCGGAGCCGGGTACCCTGGAGACCCTGAGCAGCCTCACCCGGCTGGAAGGAGCAGGCATGCGGCTTTTAGGCGCCGATTATTTATTCAGCAAATACAAATCCTTGGAGCAACTGGGCTGAAAGTTATTAATCCACCTCTTGGTCTGTGAAGGGGACGCTCCTCAATAACGTGTTTGTACCTCTCGGCACAAGCGAGCACCAGGCCCCAGTGAGCGCGGCCGAAGTAAAACCCCGGCACGGGTCGGGCCCCGCGGCCTCAGCTGCTCTATTTTGCAACCGGGCACCAGGGCTGCGGCCCAAAACCCCCTCCCCAACAAAATGAGACGGCACAACACAGGGGGAGGGGCTAGTTCTCCCCCTTCCCTCTCAGCCGCTAACCCGGGTCCCGGGACGGGGCAGCCGCAGCGTCTCTCGGGGCTGCCGGCCCGGCGCGAGGCTGCAGGTGCCGAGCGGCGCCTCCCTCCTCCCCTCTCTCGGGGGTGGGACTCACGGGCAGAGTCCAGCTGCAAATGTCGCCGGGCGGAAACGCAGCCCCTCGACCTGGGGACCCCGCGGCTGTGAGAGCGGGGGGGGTCCTCGCCACCCCCCGCGAGGCCGCGACAGGCGGAGAAAGCTGGAGTGGAGGAGCGGGCCCGTCCGTAGCCCCGGGGGAGGGTGGGGGGAGGAGGGGACACAAGGGTTCCGGCCGTGCTGTGTTTCCCGCCGGGAGGCATTGAGCGCTGCACCGCGCGGGGCTGATGCAACTGGAGCGTGAGGAGCCGGCGGCGCCGGGGTGAGCGGGGCTGGGGCCGGGGGTGGGTGGATACAGACATCGCGTTTGTGGTCCCGCAGACCGGTGCTGGCGGTCCGACGGGCAGTGGTTTCTCCTGCATCGCCCCAGCTCTCCACCCTCGGGTGACCCCCAGGCAGGATTACTCTAAGTTTCTGGGACTGGGTTCTGCAGGCAGGGGGCACCCGCTTTCCCTGCCTCCGCAGACGGGCGGGGAGAGAAACTGGGATCCCCGCGTGCAGAGATAGGCCCTAAGCAGCCCCCACCGCGGGCTCCTCTCTAGGCGGCGGATCACCTCAGGGACACTGCAGGGGGGAGGCGTCATCCCCGGATCGGGCCCCTGCCCAGTGCTGCACGAGGGGCCGCATGCGTCTTGCCCAGTGGAGTGGATCAGCTGTGGCAGCCATGTTCACCAGCGTGGGTCTGGGTCTGGATCTGGATGTGTTTTGTTCGGTGACATCTGTTCATGCCCTTGGATATCACTGAACTTTTTCCCTGCTCCTGGGAAATCTTCCAGTTCCCTTCTGCTCTGCGCAAAAAGCTCTCAAACTCTGGCCAGAAACAGAGGCTGAATGTTTCTCGTTTAACTTGGCTTTTTTTCAGAGAGATGGGAACTGGGTCTCAGGTTTCAAGGCGGGAGCATTAAAGCTCTTACTGTGGTAGCAAGTTGCTTATTTCTGTTTCATTGTGGGGGTTTTTGGCTGCTGTGCATCTTCTGGAACATGTCAATGGTGGCAGCTTGTACTGTACATCAGGAGTCAAGTAGGGGTGACTTGATAAAGATCTTTGTGGCTGATACCAATAGCCCATTGTTAACCAGCCATATCAGCCAATGCTGATCTGATAACTGATTTACTATAAATGCAAGACATTTAAAAGTACTGACATAAACAAGCCTTTTTTTTTTTTTTAATGCACTCCAGCAGCCTCCTGCATCCCATGTATCCGTGTCCCAGCACTTAAAAATTATGTGGAGGGCACTTGAACTAAAGCTCATCAAATGACCTTTAGTTCAAGCACCACCACCACCATTTTTAAGCATGGGGACACTTTTTAAGCAGAGCGGGGCCAGGGTGGTTGCGGGCTGCTGAAGTGTCACCTAAAAAGACCTGGACTGTCCAGCCCTCTTCTGCTCTCAGCACAATCCTCTCATCATCCCCTCTATGCCACGGGCCATTAGAGCAACCTAATGAGCATTTATTTAGTACCTCGTATTGGCGGTACTAAATTTAATGTGCATTAGAAAAAGAGCATTAATGCACATGTAGACATGTCCACGGAGTAGTTCTCAACTGGGGTACCAGGAAACTGTTTCAGGGATGCACCTCCATTGCATCCGGGTGGAGCTGTCTTGCATCATTTTGTTTCTGGGAGGAGCTGCAGGGCTGACTGGGAAACAGCTGCAGCAGGAACACTTCTGCTCTGCCCTTCCTAGCCTGTCCTCCATATCCCTTTCTGGAAACAAAGGCACCAGGAACAGTTGTGCTTGGCCACATCTGGGCAACTAAGCAAGGTATGAACTCACAGTATTGACCATGCAGAGTGTACTGGGATGTAGGTAGGGGTGGTAGTAGTGTAATTGGGGTGGGGGAAGGCAAGGGGCAAGGGCACCAGTCTGAGTGCCAGCTTTGAAGGGATACCTGTATGGCTTCCTTCCCCCAGGAGTTTTTCCTGCAGCAGGGACAACCCAGAAGGTGCAGCTCTATGCTAAGCAGTGTATTTGGGGAGAGGAGTGGGGTAGAATGGAATGAGTCCTGCTCCCACCCTGAGGCTTTCTCATGAGGGGCACAGCCCTGCCTTCAGGGTTAGGGGTGAACCCCAGAGCAGCCCCAGAGACTTGTGCTGCTACCTGTTCCTGAGGGCAACAGCTTGAGACAATGCTGCTACATAAGCTGCTTCTGCTATGTAGTAACAGCTCCCGTGTTGATCTCTTCACAACCAAATTGATACTTTTACAGTCGGGGACAGGTCTACCTGCAGATCACTAGTGCCTGCTCTCCGCTCAGTCTTCTCCCCATCCCCTCCATGCCCTGGGCACAGAAATAACTAGTTATGTGGCTGGAATAGTAATGCTCAACTGAGCTGCCACCATATTCAGAAAGGTTATGGAAGGGTGTCTTGAGCCTAAAAATGTTGAGAACCCCAGAATTAACTGGTTCAGAGAAACATAATCTTCTCTGGCTTTTGCTTGACTTCAGACTAACTTGACTAATCACCTTTCTTATGCATTATATTGACAAGTGGACTTCAATATTTGGAAAAGATAGAATCTCTCATTCAGACTTGTGAGCGTAAACAATTTATATAACATCAAGAAGTTGGCTTGCATTCATTCCTGTAAATCAGGGGTGGGCAATTATTTCGGGCGGAGGGCCACTTACTCAGTTTCGGCAAGCTGTCAAGGGCTGCATGGGTAGCCCTGCCCCTTGACAGGTGCCCCGCCCCTTGGTCACTCTCTTGGGACCAATGTCCAAGGCCAGCACCAGTGGGGCCCAGACTGGCAGGGGTCTGTGGAGCCGGGCTGGGCTTCACCAGCAGGGAGAGGGGGGAGCTGGCCCGGCTCCATAGAGCCCCTGCCAGCCAGGACCCTGTACCCCTGCCGCCCTGCTCTGGGTCCTGCCGGCACTAGCCCTGGGACACCAGTGCGGGCCCCATGCTCCCACTGGCTCCCTACCCACTCGCTCCCGGTGCCCCCTAGCCCCGTGGTACAGGCGGGGGGCAGCGTGCAGCCCAAACCCCCTGCTCACCAGCAGGGAAGGAGCTGGTGCAGAGCGTGGGGAAAAGTGGCCCCTTGCCCGCCCTGTGGCTCACTCTCCCTGCTGCAGCTGCTTGCAGCCCACACGGGGCTGTCCTGAGCAGGCACAGGCAGCCTCACCCAGGCCATGAGCGGCTGCAGCTCAGGGCACTGGTCACGGGGTGGGCGAGGGACCTCTTTTCCTCCCACTCACGCAGCACCAGCTTGTAACCTGCCCCCTCTGCCAGCCTGCCCCCCACCGCCCCTGCACCCTCACCCCCCTGCTTGCTGTGCCGGGAAGTGTTTGCTGCTGTTGCCCACCTGGAGCTCTCACACTGGGCAGCACAGAGGCAGCGGTGGCAAACACTGCCCAGCATGGCAAGCAGGGGGGCCATAGCAGCTGTCGCCGCACCCAACCCCAACTGGTGAGCCTGGAGCCAGTGCAGGGCCCAGGCTGGCAGCGGGGGTGGGTTACAAGCTGGTGCTGAGCGCAGAGAGAGGGGAAAGCAAACCCTTGCCTGCCCCATGGCCAGTGCCCCGCACTGCAGCCACTCGCAGCCTGGGTGGGGCTGCCTGTGCCTATTCAGGACAGCCCCACCTGGGCTGCAAGCAACTGCAGCAGGGAGTGCAGGCCACAGGCTTCCCCTGGGTCCTACTACCTCTGGCTCCTGTCATATTTTATGGGAACCAAGGGCAGAGAAATATTAATTTTCTAAACTTTTTAGGGGCCCTGCAGGCCAGATAGAATGGCCTTGCCTTACTGGATGCAACCCGCGGGTCTTATTTTGACCACCCCTGCTGTAAATTGACTTCCAGACCTTTGAATTAATTGTTTGCAAATCCAGTTTCATTCAGCATCTTTGTGTAAAGGAATTCCTCTTAAAATGAAGTGAACCTCTCCTCCATGACTCCTGATCCCCACAGATTTATTGTAGAATTACAAAGAAGTCAGGCTGGAAAGGACTTCCAGAGGTCAAGTAGTCCAGCCCGTTGCGTGACACAGGATCATCCCTATCCAGACCATCCTATACAAACCATAAGCTAAACTCTACATAAGACTTTCACCAACCATGCTACAACATAGTCCTAATATCCTGACCTGCCACAGATAAAGCAGGGGAACCATGGCAGGCAGTATGCGGCTTTTGTAAAATGTTAGTATACATTCAAGAGGTCCCAGATAGGGGGCCATGCCCCCCACTAAAGAGAAAGACAGAAACCGTCATAGTCCATACAAGTCTGACCACTGGGTAAAATTCCTTCCTGATCCCAAATATGGCAGTCGGGCAGACTGTGAGTGGAGGGGCATGACCCTCTAGCCAGGAATCTCTAGCTTTCGTCCCAGCATGAGTATTGGCACACCCCAGTCAAAGTTCCCAGGCATGGCTGTAACCAACGTTCAATGCCTCTGGGAAGACTTAAAAACACTTTGACACATATAGCATAAAAGGGAGGGTGGGGGCAGCCAGCAAAGGCCAGAAGCATGGGAAATACCCATAGTAGAACATACCTACACCTAGATCACCCCAACTAGTGGCTGTTCAACCTCTTCTTGAACACCTCTAGTGATGGAGACTCCACAACTTCCTCAGGCAGTCTATTCAACTGCCTCACCATTCTAAGAGTGAAGCAGTTTTTCTGAATATCCAGTCTAAGCTAACTTTGCTGCAGCTTTAAGCTGTTGGTCTGCACCCTCCTCTCTGCAGCAAGAGAGAAAAGATACTTCCCATCTTCTTTATGGCACCCCTTCAAGTACCATGACCCCTCTTAAGCACATTTTCTACAAGGTGAATATGCCTAGTAGAGCTGTGCGAAATTTTGCCTGGTGTTTCGTTTCAAAGCTGTTTCAATGCATTTTGAATTTGAAACAGTGAAATCAAAATGAAACAAAAGCCTCCAAAATGGCTTCGAAATGAAACAAGGGCACTCAAAATGTTTCTAAAGTTTCGGCACATTTCAAGCTTTGAAGCCAGGCTTACTTGGCTTCAGTGCTGGTCCCAGCTGGTAGCAGCAGCCTCCTGTCATATGGCAGACTGATCGGGGCTTGAGCGCACCAAGAATCCCAAGAATGCGGGCCCCTGATCTGCCTGCCAGACAGATGACAGGAGGCTGCTGCTGCCAGCTGGGACCAATGCTGGTTGCAGTCTGCACCTAGCACCAGGAAGATCGACTGGGGCCAGCAGCAGCACCAGCCTCCTGTGATCCAGCAGGCAGGTTGGGGCCCTAGCATCACCAGGAGGAGTCCAGAACAGCCCCCGCAGCCCTCTGT